GAAATGTGATTTTCCCACAATTGCAGTAAACAGGTATCTGCATTTAATGAATAACACCTCATGCAAGATATAACCACAGAGTTCTCATTCTCTTTCTAATCTACAGTCACTAAATAGTGCAGTGAGACTACAACCCATCAACACAATGAGTTTTGTATACATGATTGGCAGTACACCATGGTTGAGAAAAGATAGGAGAGTTACCATAGCATCAAATGAAGGAGAAATGAGCCTAAATACAAGATTTGTAATAGGACTTGGCACAGGTATGAAGACAAATTCTGATCAGAGTATGAGGTATAGGTAGGCATTTCCTTCTTACACAAAGGAAAAAGAGAACAGCAATCAGGACACTCAAATGCATGACACTTTCAGTTCTGCCACTTACTTGTGGTATGTCCACACACTTAAAGCTCCATCCTTGTGTTAGTTTCTCTGATAATAAAAATGACAGGAACAACCCTTTTCCAAGTCTACTCTCTTCTACTTTTCCAGTTCCTTTGCCATCCAGTCACTCAATTATGTACAGAGATGCAAGAATCAAAGATTTCTCTTTTTTGAAGGTGATGTATCCAGTAATCAAAATGAGAATTTTACCCAAGGATGTTCTTTCTTATTTTCTTTATTTTATTTTTTTTTTATTTTTGTGAAGTTGACAGAATGATATTATTATTAGCTTCAGATACCCAGATCATTTTCCAAAGATTCAGGTAAATTTAGAGGTAAAGATACCACTTAAAAACAAAACAGAAAATGCAATTAACTGAGATCTCCTCTCATGCTGTTTTTCTTAGATAAAACTGAATAAATTTGTGGATCAGACCAACAGCTCCACTTCAAAAGCTTCATTTTCACCATCTTTTTAAGCTTGAGACATTCACTAATGGTTTCTGCTCAGTTTTACCTTCCTACTTAGGCAGAAGACAAATCAGCATTTAATTAGGTGCATACGACTGTGAGCTACTATGTAGTCACACCATGTGGAGATTTAGAGTATTTAAGAGTATCTTAATGCATCACAGCTTCTCAAAGCTTAGATAACCTTAGATTAGTAACACTTCATAGATGCAAATGCATGACATGCCACAGAACTCCTTCCACAAATATAGCCTGCAAGCACCAAATAACAGGACCTCAGGTACATTTGAAGGTATATAGAGTATAGAAAGCATTCTTTACTTGGCAAGTTGGAGGATTGGACTATATTATGCACACAGAGCAGCTTTCTTTGATCCTACAATTGCATCCCCCATCTTGCTTCCCACCTTGGGATCATCAGTGACTCAGCTCACTTGGCAGAACATATCTGGCATGGTGGCACCATGCCATGGGGCTCAAGGGCAAACAGAGCTGAACCTCTGCTGCCCCTTCTCCCCAAACAGAGAAGGACAGCAGGGAGGCAAAGGGACGTACAGAGTGGCAGGCAGAGGATCTTCCTGCAGCTCTGTGTGTGGCTGGATTTTAGAAAATGAAAGCCACGCTTGGCTTTGTATCGTCGTCTTCTACACAAGTCACGCACAAACAAGGGAACAAAAAAGATGTGTTTGCCACAATTCTATTAGAAACACAAAGACATTGTTTTGGTGGATAATTTGTTTGCTTAGGAAGCTCAGCTCAAATGCAAGAGTAGCACTGTGAAGTCCTGCAACTGATTTAAACAGAAAAAAAATAAAGCCTCCTATTCAACGTTATGTTGACAAAGGCACAAAGATCATGGGCTTAATTTTTAACATCATACTGAACTGAACCTAATTTGCCCACGTAAATACTTCATTTTCTCATGCAAGCTAATATAAACCAGAAGATAGGACCTCCCCTAAGATTACTGCATTCAAAAGCAGTTGCACCCACAACAAATACTCATCCTGCATGGAAAAAGGACTTGCACCAGTTCTCCCAAAGTTCTGCCTGTGAATAGATAGCATACATTGATTTTATTTTGCCTATCTTTTGACTTGGGTGACATGTTATGTATGCATATCTCACATTGTTCATTTTTAATATTATTTCCAGATAAAAGTCAGTGAAACCCAGAAAAACAAGCACAAACAATTGCTTGGAAGTTGTTAGAGCTGTATGGAAGAGCAGTCATATCTGTGCTGCATAAGAACGTGTTGGAAGGCCAAGATACAATTATCTCATTGGTGATTTAAACATCACTTTAGCCAGAGAGATTTCATCTTCACCCATGCTGCAAATTGAGTTAATTTTTCAGCATGCCAAGGGGCAATTTGTTCTGGTAACATCAGCTGCAGCTTCACAGTATTACTATCTACCCTTCAGAAGAACACTGAAAAATGAATTATTCACCCCAACTTTAACAACTGCTTCATTCTCAAATCAAGCAAATAATACTAACCCTAAATTATTCTGCACAAGGAGTGGTCTGAGATAGGGATTAAATTAGTATTTACTCCAATGAAAAACTAAGCATCTGCTTAGACACACAATTCAGTGACAGGTGTTTCCTCCAGGAGTGAGAAGTGCTGAGCTGTGAATGTGGACAGTTTTGCAAAGGGACAGCTCAGCTAAAAAAGCACTGGCGCAGCCCACGCAGGATGCAGCAAGGGAGTGTTTGTTTAACAGAACTGCTAAAGCAGTTGGCAGGTACTGCCACATACACAGCAGAAAGCCATGGGGAGCATGGAAAAGCTCCAGCCTGTACCACTCCCTGGGATAACGCCACATCCACAGGGACAAAGATACTCAGCGTCTACAAACTGCCTCCTGTCTCCATGCTGCTGGACACTTCACAACCCCTAGACTGGCTACAAAGAAAAAAAAAGCATGCCCTCCCAATTTTGCATTACTTTGTGGGAGCAATGAGGGAGGGAAGTGCCTGTGCTCTAGCTGCACAACCACTTGACACATGCCAGCAAAGCCAGCTCGTCTGCACTTCTGAAGGCAACTTCAAAACAAACGCTTACTGAGTTCATTGAAAGTTCCATGATACAAAAACAAAAAACAAACAAACAAACAAACAAAAAACCTGAAGTAGTTTCCAGATTCTGTTTTGCTTTGTGGCAACCCAGACCCCAAAACACAACTTTCTAATGGGTATTTTCTCTGTGCTTTTCTTGCAATTACCCATCTCAACTCTTCAAGTTCTGTATTTTTCTTGCTTTCTCAAAGCATATTTATAAATGATAGCATAGCCCTCAAGTACATGTGATGAGCTAAGATCACTGAGCTTAGAATCATAGAATCATAAAATTACTTGGGTTGGAAGGGACCTCAAGGATCATCAAGTCCAACCACAGCCTAACCATAGTATCCTAACTCTAACAACCCTCTGCTAAATCATATCTTTACACAAAACAGCTAATATTTCCACCTGGAGACACACAAATATCTTAGAAATATATTGGAAAGTTACTCTCAACACACCCTTTTCCTCTGATGAAACTATATATTGTTCTATAGGCATCACTTAGCATCTAACAAGCCCGAAAAGGGCCAGGTCCTTTTCTGCACAGTCTGTTTTCCTAGCCACCTTCATCTGAGAAGAAGGGGAATTAATTCTAACAGAATTTCACTAATAATGAGAGGTCAATTCAGTGCAAAGAAGCCACACAAACAACCTTCAAGGACTTCTTCATTCAAGTGAAGTGTTTCTAGAGATCCTTATCAGTCCTGTGTCCTGTGTTGTAGTTGTAATATCAAGTTGTAATAAACTCGAGCACAGAAGAACAAGATATAACCTAAGAAAACTACAAAGATGTTTCTCTTTAAGCTTTGGCTAATGATAGAAAGTAATATTCTGAGCCAGTGACAGTCTTCTATGGACATATGAACATTCAAGCGTGAGCGGAAAGCCCCATCTCCATAACATTATAGTCTTAGAACCTCTCTATGATGCATCTTTGGGTTTGACCCTACCACCAGCAACCATCTGAGCACACCCTACATAAACCCCAGTTATTCCCTGAAATCCCTGGCTCTTCACTGGGGTTAAGGAATGATGTTGGCAGTTTGACACTGGGTTTCCAGCTGTACATGGTGAATTGAAAGCATGCAGGTCCAGCTGCTTGTGTGCCTCTCATGAGTTGGGTACAACCCCAAAGGGCCTCGGGACCATGTGGCTGGCATCCAAATGCAAATCTCCTCTGGGAACACACATGCACGGGAACATTCAGTCATAGACAACTGCATCATTAGTGCAAAACATCCTCACTATGATGAACTATAATTTTAGCGTGGCTGTTTGCAATGCAATCTTGGTCTGTTAGCAGGACCATTTTGTGTCTGTTATTGATAGTGGGAGTAGAGGTGAGCGTCTGAGTGACAAGTACAGTGAAATAAAGCCACAAACTAAGCAGTGATGAGGCTGCCCATCAGTGAAAAAGGTCTTGGAGTAGAGTCTAGAGAGCTTCAGCAACCATTCAGCAGTAAACAGATGACCTGGAAAACATTCCTCCAGTCCCCTCATGTATGCTTTGTCAACATTTGTTTTACTCCATATTCAGAAAGAGTTTATCCACTACACCAAGAACATAAGACTATTCAAGTGCAAATTGAAGAGAAAGTACTTGTTGTGCATCCATGACAAGGCCCCTAGCTAGCACAATGTGAGCCCATATTACCCATCATTACTCATCACAGGCTGAGATGTAATTGTGCTATCGACTGTGATGCCTTTCTCTCATCATCATATTACAGGATGCTTGAGAGACACTGTAGTACAAAATAGTAAGAGAACAACAGTACAATATATGCTCCACTAAGCATTGGGCATCTCGTGCCAGGGACTGCTGTCTCAGTCTGTTCCCTTTGCTTTCCCAGCTTTCATGTGACCTTTTTGCTTATCCCAATTTCAGAATTTCCAGGGTTATTCTTCCCTGGAAGGTTTATCTACACAAAGCCTTTATTTTGGAACGAGGCATAGCTTTAAAGTGAATACCCATTTTAGAATATAAAATAGAAAATAAAATTATTTTTACAAACTAGTCTTTTTTTTTTTTTCTTTTTTTTTTTTTTTTCAAGAACTAACTTGAGTCACCTTCATAGAATCAAAAAATGATTGAACTGGAATGGACCTTAACCTGTTCCAACCTGCTGCTGTGGGCTGGTTGCCACCCACCGCATCAGGTGGCCCAAGGCTCCATCCAACCTGGCCTAGAGCACCTGAAGGGATGGAGCACCCACAGCTTCTTTAACCTGTTCCAGAGCCTCTCTTAGAACTCACTGTTGCAATGAGAAATCTCACCAGCCACAATGACTTGTCACCAGCCCTGTCCTGAAAATCCCAGTAGGAACCTGCGTGAGCAGCACAACAGCATTGGTGATGAGCACTGTGCCTAGCAGAGGCTGTAGCATCTCTCACTATCCTACCCCCATGAGAATATGCAGTGCTGCTCTGCTTCCCTTTATTATCTTTTTGCTGATTGCTGCTAATGGTAATTTTAGTTTGCACTGAGTCACAGCTAGACTGGTATCCTGTGATGTTTACAGTCTCCTGCATTGTATATTTGGAAATGCTAATAAAAATAATTTCTGAAAAGGAGAAACGAATTGCTATTCAAACTGCTTACAGAGCATGAAGAAAAAACATCATCTTGCCAAGATTAGCTGTGGATCTCTAACATTATCCTTTAATTATTATTGAGCATCATTGTCACAGGCTCTCACTGGAGAAAATCCATCTGAGACTCCCAATTTCCCAAGCCACTGTTTAGATTTGAAGTTTCACCAAAGGCAGGATTTGAATCTGTCCCCAATACTGAATGTGATCACTGCATTAATTAAAATGTAACATGTCATACAAGTCATTTTAAACCTGGGAGTGAACTCCTTTTACCTTTCCTGTGCACAAGGATGCACTCTGCTGTCACAGACAAGGCTTTCACAACTGTTTTGTACAGAAATTGATGGCATTTTGCAGCGTTATACTTTATACTTGGAATGAAATAGAGGCAGGATATCATTCCACATCCATCAAGAAGAACGGCTCAGAAGTCAGAGTTTTAGGTTAAGGATAAACCAAAGGGACTTTTTATCAGCTGTTGACACTCCTGCTTGTGTTCAGACCTTTGAGCTTTTCCAAATTATGGCAAACCTGCAAGGATGACTAATGGCTACAGCAGAGTTCAGATGCCATACTGCATTATGGATTCTAGATGTACAACAAAGTCATTGCCCTCTGACGGTTTTATGCTGGAGAAATCCTGCTGCAGCCACAAAAGGAATTAGGGCATTTACAGCTCTTTGCAGCAGTTTGAGATTGGAGTAGTGTCAAAGGGCAATGATTTCCTCTGAAACAGCTGAAAAACGGCACTTAAAAACACAATGCAGAGTGCTTAGGCTCATTTAGTCTGATACTCAGAGGACAACATGAACATACAAACTATTATAATTCATGTGCAACAGGGAACACAGTTACACCTGTCTAGGCAAATCTGGCAAAGTATACGCAAGTGTAACATGAGCAAGCATACACTTAACAAGATTTACTTGTTAATATGGTTAAGAACAGAAATAGCAAAACCAGTCCCAGAAAATCTTGGGTCTGTTGAGTCAGACATTCTTATTCTGATGCAATCAGAATCAGAGCACCTTGAAGCCCACTCTCCCAAGTCCACCAAGCCAATCCTAGCTGCCCCCTAGAACCTGGAAGTTACACATTCAGCAGAATAAGACCAAAAAAATTACACCAAAAGGCTATGACTAAATAGAGACAGGCATCTGGAATGGGCACACTTGGATATATTAAGGTGTCACTGAGGTTCCTTTGGTTATAACCCTGGCTGCTGGCTTTTCCTGAAGGAGAGGTGCCAGGAAACCCCTCAAACACCAGCGCTGCTCTCCTATGGCCAGGAGGAGTAAGGAGCAGAACATTGACAGTTCTGAGCCTTTAAGTCCGAGCCTTTAACAAGGCTTCCATATGCTCATGAAGTTCACCTGTCCAAAGCTGTTACTGTCCCCAAGCAATTTCTGACTTACAGACTTTTGTCCATGAACGTTTGCTAGCTCAACCAGCTGAAAGGCTTGAAAAAAAGAGATTTAATTTGGATTAGGAATTGAGCTCGGTGTTTACTCCAAATACCTTTTCTAAATGAAGTGAATGATTTTTAACAGTAACATTTTTCTTGTCTAGAGATCATCCAGCAGAACAGAAAATCATTCAGGAAAGCTTGAAAGTGAAGTTTGCCCTGATATCAAACTGAATTTTAATTCATTTACATGCAACATATAATTGCAGAAGTTTGCCCACATAAAAATGGCTAACCAGATTACTGGAGCAGCAACTCATTGAAAGTTAAATTGATTTCTCAAAGATATCAAACATCATTTTCTAAACAATAAAAAGACCAAAGCTTTCATCTTCAGAAGTCACATACGTCTCCAGAGAGAGAAAAGGACATTTATGATGAGAAAGATAAAGGGGTGCAGTAAGCCGTCAGAAGTTCTTTTGATATCAAAAAGATTGATGATGTTTGACCTCAGCAGTGTGGATCAAGTAAGAAATGAAAGCACTTTGAAGAATCCTTTTAAAATCATGGACCCGTGATAAATCATAAAAAGTTTCAGTGGTAGAACTACCTGACATCCTGAAGGTGGTAATTTTGCATTCTCATTCAAATTGAGAAGCAGCATTATATTTCTAATGTTTGAATGCATTAAGGCATAAATTGGACAGGGTGCAAAAGGAGTGAGGATCTACTAAATTATTTCTGAGAACCTCAGAATTTGTACATTGTATGACTTCCAGGTTCTCTCTGAAAAATTTCACTCCCAAACAAACACTGTAAGTAGTTTTCCCCAAATGATACAGCTCAATACAACAACCAACGTACACCCAAAATGCAGGCCTCACTCACATTAAGTCCTAGTCAGATAGGTAGGCCACCACCATAGGACTTATTGCCTTCACAAAACTAAAAGCAAATTGCTTCAAGAGATCAAAATGAAGATTAATCTGCAGTGCAATAGCTGGTAGGCTTGTAAGACCAGTGAAATCTGGAATGCTCTGTTTATTTTCATGCAGGACAAATGCCACAGTACAATGGGAACAGCAGTGTTAAATCCCTGCTTGAAAATCATTCCTATCAATACATTTCCATCCAGACGATGTTTTGAACAGTTGGCTATCAACAATAGGCCATGCAAAAGGCTGGAGTAGATTCTAATCCACTATCTTCTGCTTGCAGGTGCTCAAATCCATCACTACCACGGAAGGTTCAAGTTGGATATCAGGAAAAGGTTCTGCACAAGAATACGCTATGTTTCTATGACTGTCTTCTGCCCTGCACTTTCATTCTTCTTTAAAATGGAGATAGTCATGGCTACAATCGAGCACCTCTTAAATGCAGTGAGGAACAGGGCTGTTTTAAGCTCATTTTCTTTGAGGCTAACCACTCTGCTCTGGACTGCATAAGTTTGACAAAGTTCATTTTTCCTAAGCTTTTTCTGGAACTCTTCATAAGGTAAAAACAGTGAAGCATTACTCTGAGAAGCATATTCTCCTGCATGTTAATGTACTTCCTTATAGCTCTGCCTTGTGAAGTTAAACATGCGCTCAGACAGAGTCTGTGCTGAAGAAGCTTCCAATAGCTCATCAGCTCCAAGCAGACCTGGTGTCCATTCCATCTGACAAAGCACCAGCCAGGCAGTGCCTCCATCGCATGGCATATGAAACATCTGCCCAGCGAGGCCAAACTGCTCCTTCTGCCTCTGTTATTTTGACAGCTCTCCAAGCAAAATTAACTGCTTTGTCACTGTATTCATTCCTATTGCCCCACAGACTAAACCCAGCAATGTTATTCCCCGTCTCTCCAGCACTTTCCACGGCAGCGCACTGTTTGTTCCCACACTTTATCAGCACGAGGCAGTGTTACGCCACTGCTGATGCAAACAGCTGGTCAGTTTTTAGGACGGGTGTCTGTATTATCATCTGCTGTTCCTGCACAAGGCGTAGTACATCTGATTGCCTTCACTCCGGCCGTCAGCAGAGCTGCCCATCACGCAGCCCACACAAACTTCCACTAGAAACACTCCGACACAAATCAGATGGAAAAGCATTATGTCATAAGACAGACTAAGACACATCTTACAATACGTAAGATACCATGTCTGAATAATGCATTTAGCCAGATGTTTTATGGCCTAACTTTCAGGGATCTTAATACCATCTGCATGTAAAATCTGCGTCTTGCAGGGAAGCCATTAACCAGGCTAGAATCTTACTGCACACTGCAAAATAACAACAGTGCCTTCTGCAGTAAGTTGGAGCTTGGTATCTGTGCATGGTGGTGATGGGTTGACAGTTGGACTAGATGATCATAATGGTCTTTTCCAACCTATGACCTATGGAAATATGGCTAACGGAGGAGAGGTGAGTCAGCAAATGGGATCAAAGTAACAACGGGATGCTTCAGTACTTGCTAAAGTTGAAGCTCGCTAACGTGAATTTACTTTCAAATGACAACAGCTGAGGGAGCAGCCTAAAAGCTTTCTTTTTAAGCACAAAATAAAATATTTACCTGAAATGAGAACCTTGTTTCTACTTCCACGAAAGTTTCTGTTTCAAAACACTTCGTTAACATATTCATTGTGAGAATCATCATCTTCATTCTACATGTAAGGTCCTGAAATAGACCTGTTTAATTGAAACTTCACACATTCGGAACTACTCTACAGGAGATGGTTCCTTTAAAACAACAACAGAAAAATCAAAATATAACAAAAAAAAAAAAAAGAAGAAAACAGGTTGCCAGCCTAATTTATCTTACTCAGATAGAAGACTACCAAAATTTAAAGATGTTACAGAAGCAGGAGCAGGTAAATCCTTAATAGCTACATTTTCTTTACAAAAACATGTTGTTTAATATTCACAATTTGCTGTAATCAAAGAGCTTTCACTAAGCTTGCTGGAAGCCACAGCTCTCTAACTAGCCGGATATGTTCAGGGCCACAGCAAGGTTTGAATCAGCATTTCCAAGGCTGCCCTGGGACTTCCCTCGTTCCCAGCACGGGGTGCCCGGCTCCCATTATAGCGGCCGAGCAGAGCACAATCACACCACGTAACCCTGGATCAATAACTCATTCAAGCAGTGGATGAAATAGCACAGCAGGACATTGGCCGGAAGCCCCAGCCACAGAGAAGGATGCTTTTAGCACAGACTAACTCAAAACTCACAAAGGATGAGTTTGGCTGAGCTCCCCTGACATGAGCAGGGCTCTATTAAATGAGGCTCTGGTTGAATATAGCAAAGTTATTAGAAGCACACACCATTATAAATGAACAATCCAGAGAGTACAGAAGGTCTGATAATCCCAGATTTTAACTTTTTCTCCCTGCGTTTCCAGTCTTGAAATTTCATAGGCTTGGGTTATCAAGAAAACTTAAAAAACTTTTAAAGGTACCAAATGTCATTTGCATTATGAGATTTCCATGGAAACCTTTAATGGCTTGCATAGCACAGTATGTTCTTTAAATGAGTTAAACTCATGAGAGACTGCACTTTGTCAGGAGACATGGATAGGCTTGTGTTGCCGCTGGCAGCAGACTTAATACAAAACAGTGTCTTGCACTTTCCTTCAAGTGTGTTTATCCTACCTGTTTCTCTGAAAGAAAATGACCCCACAACATGGAGAACGGAGTGATTTATGGCTGGTTTATGCATTGGAAGCACCCCATGCAGATGGGCTGCAGAACCACTTGGAGAACCAACCACCTGCACTGCTCTGCTGGCCTGCCTGTCCCTGAAAAAGCCCAGCATTCTCATTAGCAAGACTGGACAAGGACCGAAGAGTCCAAAGCTGCAGGTCCAGTCACTGCAGGTCCAGGTTATCTCCTGTGGTGTACCCACTACCTGCAGATGGGTTCCTTGCCCCTCCACATGCCCACCTTCAGCTGTCAGAGGGCTCTGTCCCACACACGTCACAAGCATTAGGAAAAAGTCATTAGTATAAATTACAACAACAGCTGCCAAGGACTGGAAAAAGCTTTGTGTAGCTGCAACTGATAATTGTGCAATGCTGGCAAAATCGTATCAGAAAACAGATTATCATACACGCCCTAAAAAGAATCCTGTTCCACTTCATTTTTGCTTCAAATGGCGTGGAGAAACTGCAATTTCCAAAGCAGCAGGTACTTCTTCCCAACCACCTCTGCCATGTCTAGGCACACAAGCGCTCGGGAATCCCAAGGATTACCCATTTCTCTCCTATCACATCCACCAGAGACAGTGTGCATGCTGTAACATACTGCACTTGTACTTTCACCTGCTGTAAGCAAGGTAGTGAGTTTGCAACAAAAATAACTGGATATTGAGTACGGTTAAGCACTCTATCTTTTGCACAGGGAGAAGAACACTTAAAACTGACAGGGAGATGGCTTTTACAGAAACGACTTCCTTAATGCTACAACTATTAGGAGAGGGATGTAATTAGCATTGCCAAGTACTACTTGCTTCTTTCTTTAAAACGCTTTTTTTCTTTTTCTCCAGTCATCTGGTGAATATTTCTCTGAATCTGAGTTAGAAGGGTGGGGAAGAGAGAAAGAGGGAGAGAGAATTAAAGGGAGAAAAAAGGATGCCATGATGTCAGTAGGTCATTGCAGCACTGTCTTCTGGACACAGGATGAACCACTGGGGTTTTCTGTCCTGAAAAAAGGCAGTGTTTGTAAATTCACTTCCTTCTAGCCTAATTCTATTCCTCTCTCGTTGGGTCAAAGGCAAGTCCAAGCAGGAGCAGAGCAGTGTCAAAAATGCAAAAATGAGTATTTGAAGAACACTTCCATGTACACAAACACTGCCCCTCTAAAGTTGCTTTCTTTCAGCTACCTGTGAATCCTATCTAAATACCAATATTATGTCCTCACTAAGAGACAGAACCAACATCAGGAACGTTCCTTACCTAATATATCATCACAAGGAGATCATTCAGAGCCAGAGGAACTCACTATATAAATAAGCAAAAAAAAGGTAAAGATTTTCCAGCAACACGTCCAAAGTGGCAGAGGGCTCAGTGGCAGATCTACTACCAGCAGAGATTTCTCTAGCCCTTGAAGATCACACTCAGTCCCACAGTGCTCCATCAACATTGTGTGCTCTCTTCATTGATAAAAACATTAACAACAACTTCACGCTTTCTTCCTATGAAAATGAGAAAAGTTCCTTTCAAAAGGAGTTTGGGCACCCAGGCAGAAAAATTATTTTTATCAAAGCTTAGGAAACCCGCTCCTCCCTACACAGCCACACTGCTTAAGCTATAAAGACTTCAGGCTAGGGCACAGTCAGGATTATCTGAACATATGACAGCTCTGTAGTGAATTCCTCAGTGCTCCATCTCACCCACACAGGTTCAGTTAGCTCAGCTACACTTCCAAAACTACACGCATAGATGACACCACGCAAGGAAGTACTCAAGAAAAAAAATCCACGTAACTTTGTTGGTGGTAAAGCCAGGAGAGATTCCTAATGAAAAAATGGCAGCAAGAAAGGAAGCCTGCAGGGACAGAGGGTTTTTCTCATCAGTTTCGAAGGAAAGCATTTCAAAAGAGGACAGAGTTCAATCACAAAGTCAAGAATTGCAGCTGAGAAGATAAATCTAATGAATTTATACCACACGACTTTGGCAATAACGTGCCAGTCCACTCCTTGGATGCTTGTTCCTGTTCAGGATTCTTCCTTCTTAAGCAATAAATCCAGTGGGTCTGTGTGCTGGCAGAATCTCAGCTCTGGCATGTTTCTAGATAGAGCTGTGTTTGGGGCTTGTTTTCTCGCTGCCAACATGCTTGTGCTTCCAAGGGAGCCTTTGTAAACACGATGTTAGAAACAGCTTTTGAGATAGTTTCCCCAGGTAAAAAGTGACAGATATAAACCCAATGAGACATTGGAAAAAAAAACAACCCACAAACAAGAAGATGAAGCAGGGACTACAAAAACCTTGCAGCACTGATTAAATTGCTTATGAGAGACTTGTCCAGCAAGACAGAGGAGTCTGCTATAAGATCTTCTCTGTATTTCTTCTCTGTCATTGTTCAGAGATTTCTGTAGATCAAGTGAATTTCATAATGAAAAAAAGTCTATAGAAGAAGCTGAGTAATTCTTTTTGATTCTCTGTATCTTACATATTATGTATTTAAAAGGAAAAAGCATGTACATCTATTGCTTTTAATCTCTGACATAGAAACATAAAGGCCACTAAAAACATACAACTTGTCTTGTGCAATAGGGTATTCCTTTGCATCTTCCCTTACCACAGTCCAATCACTGTGTGTTCTGATCTCTCTGATAACGAGTTCCCTGTCTCATTTTGTTAAAAATAGCACAGCACAGCTTCACATGCTGGCACGTGCTTACACATGCCAAGGAGGCTCCCGGAAACTATTCAGTCCTTTTTGGTTCCCCGTTAGCACTTGGAATACACACATCCAATTTACAGCAGCATGTATGAGATACTAAATGGAAACCTAGCACCTCCATCTGAAGTACAGCCATAGGAGTTTGTTATTTGATTCTTCAACGGCCTCGGTCAAAAGAACTCAACTCTTCTTCCCTTCACGCTACAAACTGGCTTTGATTCTGCAAGAAGCTATCAGTTAAGACCAACCACGCATGAAAGACTGGATTTGCTGAAAGAAAGAGGACAAAGAATATTTGTTTTATTTTATTCCTCTAGAAACAGCCTTCAATGTCCAGATCATCCTCTAAACCTGATGAAGACAGGAAAGTGCGAGTGGCAAGCAAACATGCAGCAGAACAAACCAGAGAGAGATTTTTGCAGATCTTATTTTACATTTTTCTGCATCACATATTTTAACTGCATCTCTGCAGTAGTGTATGGACACGTACGGCATCAGCTCACTGGCCAGAAGAACCATTGGCATTTGGAGGCTGCTTATGTTTGGTATGATAGTAACTGCACCCTAAGTCTCTCATAAGCAAATCCACTTGACTCCATGACTTCAGTGTCATTGGCAAGAGGAGCACTCTGACATCCATTCTGGCATAGTAGTTAAAGGTTTGGTTCTTGTAAACCTTCTTTCCTCAGAAGTGCAGCCTCCAGCAGAACACACTACTGATGAGCACAAGAAGCCTTGCAGTGCTTCTGCACTCAGCTGAGACTTGTCCTGTGGGAATAGCTCTGCTGCAAGCCAAAAATCTCATTGCACAGTCCTCAATCACATCTGGGCTTTCTTGCAAAACCACTCCATTTTGTAAACTTTGGAAGAGAAACAATAGGAGCAAAATGTGTGTTAACAAACCCGCTCTTTAAAAGCAACCTTGCTTAGGATGACACTGCAGAAAACTTAGAACAGGGAAGCATTTGAAAGGACAACACAGATCTTAACTGAGATACACGCTGGCGCAGCACATATAGAATCCAACATGCAATTCCATATTCATTCGATGGAGGGCCTTTCTCTTCCCATCCATCCTTCTCCCATCTTAAGGCACCACTTGAAGCCTTACACAATAAAAAGTGAGGGATGCACCAGCTATTCTCTAAGATTACAGAGAATTGTTCACAAACAGGACCAGTTCTATTTTATGGCTTAAGAGCAAATATCAGAATGACTGTTCACCAAAGCACAAAAAACCTATTAAAATAAGTTCAGTGCTTTTCATACCATAATTTTGACCTTTTCATTTTCCAATTATTTCTCTCGGCAACCAAAGGGATTTGTTTTATGACACTCATAATTTAGGGGACCTTGGCAAGTATGTACAGTACCTTTCACCACTGCCA